AAATGCCTATTAATTGCAGCAAATCTTGGAGTTACTGGTGGAGAGGAAARGTAACATAAGGGAAAATGACTAGACTATACTGAGAGCATGAAAACAGGAGTAACAAATTGTCTTCTACAAAATGTAAACACATGGACCACCCATTCACACGTTTTTCTGTAGTTTTTAATTTTTTTTGTTTGTTTTATCAAAAAAGGGCACATTTTCTGTTACTGTATAGCTGTTTGCAGAAAGGTAAGTAGTGTTCTTGCTCACGTGTTTTTGAGAAGCTTTTTTGCATAGACATGATTTGACTAATAAATAGATAAATATCTTAAGTATTCCAAATGTGGCATCACCAAAAGGAAGACTACTCATTTTAAGAGATTGATGACTGAACTGCTCACCCATCTGAAATATTCAAATGGCCAACAAAATAAATCTTGTTAAAAATCAGGAATGGCAACTATTACTTTATGTAGTACTGTAGTATGTACTGTATTTATCGTTTGTAGAGATGAGATAAATGGCCCTTTGAAGAGATCCAGATCGAGTCGTTTTGTGATAGAGCCGTTTGATTTTGAATGAATTACATCATCACGTAGGAAATAAGTCATATCGGCAGAACCACGAGTTTTCACAAGCAGAACTCCACCCCTGAGCTGCTGTACTCCGCACTGTCTGTTTACCATGAAAAAGGAAAAATAAAGATTTTACAAAGAATAAAAAAAAMAACAACAAATGTCTCTTTACTTCCCGTGACTCTGTTCATATCGTTTGTCGTAAGGAGACATTCAAAAGATTTGAATCACTTGCAAACGACGTCTCTAAATGTTTGAGCATCCTCAATGCAATGAATGTGTGAGCAATAGTCACGTTGAAGGTCCAGCAATGTAGGAGGCAAATTGAATCAACAAGTTATCTAGGGACTAAACCACTAAACCAGAAAAGTCATTGCATTAAACGGCTACGTGTTGTGGCTTTTATTTTGATGAGTTGCCTCCGCTGGCAGAAAACAACCCAAACTTTCTTTGTTTGTGTGAAACTTCAGAGACATTAATGGCAACATTTTTTTTCTGAAAAGTGTTGAAGATGAATTCACGCGATGTGGAGGAAGACAAAAAGCACCCTGATGAAAATGAAGATGAGCATATTGGAAGAAATGGGGAAAAGAGGTAAAATACGGCTAATATATTAAAGCGTGACAGAAACTAAGATAAATGGAGGAAAGATGCAAATCACATTTGCACATGACAGAAGGAAACATGTACTCAGGTCCCAGCACAATAAAAGCAACAAAAGATTACAAGATTAACTCATATACAGACAAAAATAAAACAAATATGCTTGTAACACGTACAAAAAAAGAGAAGATCAGTGCAAGTTCACTGTAAACAAGACTAGGGATGGGTACCGAATTCGATTCTTTTTTATGCACAGACTGAATTCTGTCGGTACTACCGAGTGTCTATTCATGTAACATCAAACGGTACCATGTTTCAGTACCTAAACGCATCATTGTGACCGGTTTGGCGTAAGAGTGGTGAGWTTTCCATGCTTGTCCTGAACGCAGCATCACGCAAAAGCGTAATGACGTCAGCAGCCATTTCAGTAAACAGAGGCAGAGCTCGGTTTGAACGTAGCATGAAAGCCTCGCAGCTCCTGGAGTAAAACTTGCCGAACAGACCACCTCTGAATTATCTGGTGGATTAATTATCTTGTGAACATGACGTTCATTTGCTCAAAGTAAATAAAGTACCGCCACTTTCTTTATTTCATCCGCCATTAAACAAAGACCGGCAGAGGAAAACAACAGAGGTGCTTCTTGACTGTCCGAACACGTCTGACCTGAAGAAGCACAAGCAGCTAACTTGAAGTGTTGGATGCGTTTTTGGATGCTCAAAATATAGCTTGAATACCTTTTATTTATTTTAACTTCATCTTTTGCTTGTTTGATTTAAATTAAACGTATTTGCCTTCCGTGGACCTCCATCACACAACTTTTCTAGTGGGGAAATGACATCAATAGAAACACGTGGAGCTGGATTTTAATTTGTGCAATAAGACAAAACAGTCTTGTTGTTTTCAACRGTTTTCAATTTAAAGAAATAAGTTACACAACWGATGTTACAATACAAAGTGTTGGATGTTGTCTTGATATTTGTTAATTTTATATATTGAGAAATATGTTAAATAAAAAAATTAAAGTTTATTATTGAAAAAAAACACACACACAAAGTACCGAAAATTGGTACCGTTAAGTACTTGTATTGATTCCCAGGTACCGGATATTGAWACCGAATCGATTCAAACGTCAAAGGTACCCATCCCTAAAGAAGATGGCAACTTAATTTAAAGTGTTATTCAAGTCATATTGAAAATTCCTGTATTTTTTTCATATCACAATATACTATATTGCGGGGTTAAAGAAAAATTGCAATGTCAGTTTTTTTATAAATGTGCAACCCTAGGACGTAGTACACCAATATTCTAAACACATGTACACTAAAAGAAATAGGCACATCAACCCTGAAGACCCAAATACAGAAATACAGTTCTGGTTGTAAAACAAGGAAGCAGTTATTTTTTTACAAGCTGCTGCCATGCTTGTCATTGTTAAATGTTGACTCAGCTGTAAGAGCGAACATCCTTACGAGCAGGAAGTATGTCTTCAGTCACCTGTGACAAACCAAAGAGTGTGTGCCATCTTTCAACAAAAATATTGAATTCCTGTCCGTTCGAACCAAAACTTTGACTTTGGTGCAGCGCAAGTGTGTGATAAACAGCTTTCCATGAAAACACGACATCACAAGAAATCACACAGGGTTTACTACGTACTTTAAATGATACAAATTAGAATGAGGACTCGACTGACAGCTCTTAGGAGAATAGTTATTTCCACAAGCTGGGCACCCGAACAGAGGACAGTTCTGGTCCAGACAGCAAGAGAGCTCTTCCTTTGAGGCAAATTTAATTAAAACCAAGTCTTCTTCATTATTTAAGTCTCAGTTTACAGGCAGACTATTCTCTGGTTCATGCTTAAAATGGCAGAAGGAAAAAAAAAACTCAAGTAAACTATTGATAATTGATTGGAGGGGGAAGGGAGGGAAAGTGGCACAGCAATGCAAAATATAACAATCAAAGATATTAGAGAGCTTGCACTTAAAAAGGAAGAATGTAGTTATTTTGATTAGGTAGCTATGAGACAGTGTTACCAGCATAAGAAACAAATACAGTACACCAATGAAGTCACTTAATATTAAGACAACAGAAACAGAAATAAATAACTGAACTTCTAGTGACCTCCTGCAGATAGGTAGTATAGGCAAATGCTAAGGGCACCACAAATGGATGACAAAAAACAAAAAATGATGGCTTTTTTACCAGAGTATAGTTGATTTGGTCTTAGTCTATCTGTAAACTGTATGTCAGCCTGCTTTGTCACTACATGAGGTTATAAAGGTGCAGAGGATGTTTTGTGATAAAAGTATATGATGCATTCAAGATTAACTCATGGTGCTCAGTGTGTAAAGAGAAAACAAAATGAGGATAAGGGAAGTTTTAGTCATGATCTCAGAAAGGCCTGTTGCAATAACTAATAAATCAATTAATCGTTGGATGAATGAAAACTAGATTGTTTATTGTCATTTGCCTGCATGTTTTCTTCRTATCGCCCTTTTTTCTACTACTTTAGCGAAGGGAGGAGTGAACTCTGGCATTAGACATTTGCCAGGACCATGGTCCCGTAACCTCTGTAGCCTGAGAGCCCTGTGAACAAGCATTTAGCTAGAGGAGCTTCTTCAGTTTCCCGACAGCTCCTTTCAGCTGGTGACGCCTCAGGATGCCATCATGGGCATCGTACCAAACCTTGGGTTTGCAGAGAACTGTATTTTAACACTACGTAAATTTTGTAAACTTTGTAAGCAAGCGTGAGGGTGACCGCAGTTATTTTATGAAGCCAGAGGAAGACAAATATAAAATAAATTGCACCGGCTTGGATGGAGGACGTGGAAAGCAATTTTACAGCTTCAGCAGCTGCTGTTGTGTGTTGTTTTCCCAAACTCTGGTCCAGGTCAGTCCGTTAACCTTTTTGTTTTTATTTTATGTAAGTAAATTTGATAAACTTTGATAAGCTTTGTAACTGGGGTGGGGGGTAATCATTGTATTAGTTTAAAATGGTCTCCAAACAACATCATTTATCGCAAAAATTCTTGAGACAATTTAACATTTAGCTACATTTGTTACCGTGACAGGCCTAATCTCCGATAAACTTCTTGTTAAAGTCATGTTAAAATGTGAAATTATTGATTTTATGTTGTTTAATCCCAAGAATTTTGCAAAAATGCTCTTCAAATGGCTGGAAAATGCATAGGTTTTTTTTTTTTTTTGGGGGGGTGGGGGGTATATGCCCCTGGACCCCACTAAAACTGCTTCACTTCCACAGCTTCTCTTTAACATGAACAGGTGTTCCTCATTGCTGTCAGATGTTGGCAGGTACTTGGTAGACTTCTGGTATTCTGTTTCAAATGAATTATATTGTTAACCATTTTTAAACAGGCAAAACCTGTTTTCTAACAATGAAAAATTTTATCAAAGACACAAATTATTTTGTATGTGATTGTATGTAAATTGACAGAGATTTAGAAAACTGCACAAGGGGTAACCAATGGAAATCTTGTCCAGGACGCCAAATTGGCTAGGCCCGGCCGTGCAATCACTGCATGTTTCCTGGCTCTTCATGCTTTTAGGCACATAGAAATCCCTCACAGTGTCAGTACATATCCCTGGTCAAGCTGTCCTGCTCTCTCTGAACCGCAGGCGAATGAAAAAAAAAGTTTGCATATCTCATCACAAACAAATCCTGCGGTGGCCTGAGCAATGTGGCTGAAGCAACTGTGGTTTGCAGTGTTTTGCATGAATACAATCACATCAACAGACTTTGAGAACAATGAAGTAACGGTTCAAGCAAACAAGTAAAAAAAATAAAAAGATTAAAAACACTTGTGATCATGCAAACCTACCCAACAGCAGCAGCTTCAGCTCCCTCCGTGCGTCTCTCTTATCTCGTTTGAGCTGCTTCTCGATCTCGGCGTTGATTCGTTTGGACTCCTTCGCCTCCTCACTCAGGCAACAAGCCATCATGGAGTCTAAAGTCATCACCGCATGAGCTGTAAAGCTCGTTTGACTGGGCTGCACCTTACAGAGGAGGTCTGATTAATATCCTTCTGAATGGATGAGTCCGGTTTTTGCGTCTTTAATYCAGACTAGTTAAAGAGTCCCTGTCCTCCTCCTGCTGAGGCTGCCAAATGTTTATTTGACAGTTGGYCCCCCCCCAAAAAAAAGGCTGCAATAAAGTGAATTGATTAACAAAAAACAAAAACGGCCCCAAAACACCTTAGAGGACGTCCAAGTGTGTAAATAACTGTTTTATTCCACGCATGAGTTGGTTTTAGTTTGAATACAGAGGTTAGCATGAGAGCTAAATCCTACTGGAATCACACAGAGCTAAGTTGATTAATCCTCCGAGTGACAACAATTTTTAAAATGTTTTCGTTCACTTATCCTTTATGAAAAAGGTCTAAAGAACTAGAGAGCTGAACCTGAGAAACAGCGGGACACTACAAGCTGCCACGGCCACATTTTGTTCGATCCCTCCGCTGATGATCGTTCTCCCGGCCGAGCTGAAGCCTCGCCGCCCCGAAGCCCACACCGAGAGCTCCGCCCGCACTGTGGCAACGAGCTCCGGTCAAACTGACCGTCCAGGTAAGCCGTCTCACCCGCGTTCGGTCCTCGACGAGCAACAACCCTGAGAATAATCAGAATGACAGCAGTCGCTCGGAGCGGCTCCCTCCTTCACACTGACACCCAGTGAGCGGGCTAATGGTTAGCCTGTTAGGCTAGCTCCGATAACCATCCCTAAAAAAACACACACAGAGGGAGCGGACTGACAGAGGAACCTTCATTGCATCAAGTTAACGCTCCGATGAGAACCTCATCCACGCAAAGCACTTAAGAAACGAAAACACCTTCCTGGGAGTCCAACGAATCGTTCTTTTTCATCCGTGCATTTTATCGCTGGTAATTTTTCCTTGTGGTGATCCGCTCCTCGTCACCCACTCTCCTCTCTCTCACAGCCCCGGTGTGTGGCGCTGCTGCTGACGTTCTCCGGGAATGGAACTGATTGACAGGGAATGCAGCCAATGAGAACGGAGAAGAGTTGAACGTTTTAGGGCGGGCCTTTTCTAGCTTATCTAAACGGTGAACTTCTCAAGCTTGCTTGAGAGGAACCTTTAGAGGCGTGCCAGGGAAAACGAACATTTTGGAGGGGACAGGCACCGCCCATCTCCTGTCAAACAGCAGCAACAGATGCTGCAGTAGCACTCACAAAGCTGTTCATAGATGATCACTTGGAAACTGTGTATTTATATGTACTCATATAAATATAAGTAATGTGATAAATATAATGGTGAATATGGTGTGCTTGAAAATGACAAAATGTTATGTTTTCTTCTTGCCAAAGCTACAATGTTTCAACTCAAACAATGTTGTCACAGGCAGATAAACGTCCATGCTCTCACTATTCTAGGGTTTCAGCTGTCAAACACGGTGGTGGAGGGGTGATAATTAGGTTCGAGCTGTGAGAGTGCTGCGAAGATCTATTGTATTTCAAATGTTTATTACTTTACTCCTCCCGCAATTTTAAATGCTAATTTGTAAGCTTAAACATGTATGAAATCTCACCAAACTTTACCCAAAATTGTCCCCTTGCTCAAATTTTAGTTTTCCATTGAACTTTTCAATGGGTGTGGCCAAACAGCTCCACAGGGTCACTTTAAGTGAGATAGGGGAACTGGTACTTCATCGCTGAAACTCAGGACATAGGTAGATGTCCCCAAAACCAGAAAAAAATGTCTCTTGGAGCTATGCCATAAACCCAGCAGGAAGTCTACCATTTTGGGTCAAAGATCGACTTTTGGTCGTTTTTCATTTTCACTCATTTCAAACTTTAACGAACGCCTTCTAGGGATTTCAATCTATAGACTTCAAACTTGGTCTGTTTACCATGGGGGGTTAAAAGTTATCAAAATTGTGAGTTTTCGAGCACGTTTAGGGGGCGTGGCCAGGCCTCGAATTCGGCCTTCACACCACCATTTTCAAAACGCTATAACTTTTACAAAGAAAGGCCGAATTACACCACACTCAGTATGTGTCATCCATGTTGGATGGTCAGCATACTATGGCTGTGTCCWAATCCAGAGGTCAGGTCCTCTGAAGGCCAAATTCGTCGGCCGCTTACATCACAGCGCCGCGACAGAGGCTGTCTAAATCTGAAGACTCCTCCGATGTGGCCAACAAATGCGTCCTTCTTTTGGCCTGAATTGAAGGACTGGTAGACAAGCTGGTATAGTGGAATAAACATTTACCTACAGCGGGTCTCTTAGTACTTCAAATATTGCCTTTAAGTTCATTTTATTGTTTTGTGATATTAATGACGCTAATATATTGATATTTTTTCTAATTTTGATCTAATTTTGCTTCTGTTTAGTGAGGTCACGTATGCTAGACAACAGGACACATGCCGGGGTAAGACGGGAGGCTAGAYCATCCAAATTTGCAGCCTCTTTTTTCCAGTCTTCACAGTCTACCTAGAACATAATTTGAGACTAGACTGTTTTGGTTATGTCCTTATAGGAAAAGATTAAAAATTAAGTACTTTTTTACCACAAGATAATGTTATGTTTACATTGTAAACATTTCAAACCATTTGACATAGAGTGCTCTGGAATATGTGAATTATTATTATGGAAAATGTGGAATATCACTGCTTTTATACTTAAGATTTAATCAACTATTTTCATTTCAAATTAAAAAAGAAGTCATACAGACATAGAGTAACAGGCAAAAACGTATTTTATTACAACAATTTATTTTAAAAATCACATTGCTCATACGCAGCATAGTTTTTTTTAATTTTAATTTTATTTTTTTGCTGAGGAACAAATCTACCCAGCGGCCTTTAAATGAGCAGTTACATCTAGGTATTCAGTCTTTATAACAATTTTACAGAAAAAGCACACTTCAAACATTATGAACTGCAGGGTAACAACTGAAAGGATGCTTTGTACTGCTAGTGTTTTTTATAGATTGATGAAAAGGCAGGATATTTGGAAGAAACAAAAACAGGACTGTTTGTGTATGTTGTTTGTCAAGTGTTATAGCAGATAATTATTATTTTATGAGATAAATGTTGCAGATAGTGGATTACAATTGCAGAAAAATGCCTAAATTGAAATAGCTGCAGCACAATGATGAAAGCTATAAATGTTCAAATGTGAGATCTAGCTCACTAAATTACTACCTAGATTATTATCAGTGACTGAGGAGTGCTGACAAGCAATAAGTGCTTAAAAACCATAGTTTGCTGGACAACGACAGAAAGAGGTGCCTCCAGATATTTTTTTATTGGGGAGGCATTGAAAAATTCAGGGGTAGCCCCAAAACCAAACACACAGACTAAAATGTTGGCAACTTTATGCTGTTGTAACAGCAACAGCCATACAAGACTTAGAGCAGGGCTAATCAACTAAAGACCCATGGGTCACATCTAACCCATGAGTGACCTCAGTCTTTCTTAATCTAACATAGGGTTCTTCAGCATTTTTTAGTGTGGGACCCCTAAACTGATGGAGAGACGGAGCAAGGACCACCTTTACTATTGTACACACTGACACTGACTGCTATCATTAGGAGCTGCAGTGTTGTATAAATATTGCAAAAGTTACAGCACAAATAGGCTCAGCCAATCACTGTGAACCTGACAGAGCAACCATGACCTGTCCAGTATAGATAGGGGGTGGAGCAATCACAGAGGGTCAGGCTGTGAGTGAAGCAGAGTTCAGCTGGTGCTCACTGAATGTGTGCATTCCTGACTGAAACTCTGCCTCCATGTTTCACTTTGCGACATGTTGGATTCATGGTAACGTGTGTTTAAAGTCACAACTTAGATTTTTTTAAATTAAAAAATAAATAAAAAGGTCTAACCAAAGATTTCATGACCCCCTGCAGTAACTCCATGATCCCACTAGAGGTCGAAAATACCTGCTTTCATCCTCACTTGAACATTATTTATGTTTTATTTTAGTACTCCGAAAAAAATTATACTTTTGCAATTTCTGTTTCTACCGCTGGTGCTTTTCCACATTGAATTCAATTTTTTTTCTGTGAATAATTTTATGCATTTTATGTTTTTTTTACATTGCACTGTAATATACATACA